TTATGCCACGAATATGATGAATTCCAGATAAGAATGACTGCATCATTAGTTTAGAAAAAGGTACCCCCATCCAAAAGAAAAAAAGAAGAAGTTTAAGCTTCTATAGATTAGCAAAATATTTCCATCAGAAACATAAGAAGAAACACATAAAACACAAATAATCAGCAAATGCAGATGTTTTAAGACCAAGAAGAGAGTGTTCATGAAAATGAAATGCTTTAAAGGAAAACATGAAAAGGTGTTTAAAAATAATTTTGATGACTATCGAGATGACCTAAGGGGATGAAATGCCCTATAACTAGTAGGAAAGGATAGAAAAAACGTATGATTGTTTTATGAAAATAAGAATCTGCTTATTTTAAGTCGATGAGTTTGTCACGCATGATTATGGGCACAAGAGATGATGTGCTGTGAGCCCAGAATTAAATCCTTTTACTTCAATCCTAAAAATCAATAGGCGGAAAGCTAAGAGGAGGTTCTTCTTTAATCAACCAAGATGCTAAAATCATGGAGAGAAAGGCAAAAAAGACCACAGCAGCTAAGTCATTCAAAAGAAGAGGGAGGGTTGATTACGTAGAATGAAGTGTAATGAAGATGCTAAGTAGGATTAGAAAAACATGATACTTTTACAAAGGGTTGATTGAGCGAACAAAATGGATAATAAGGCAAATTAAAGATTGTTATAAATCCTGTGTCCAGGAAATGAATTAACTGCTCAGACTAATAAATGAAGAAGCATCACACAGAAGACGATGATTGAATGTCACCATGGGAAAACAGAAGGTTCCTGGTTTATAAAACCAGCACACTTAAAAAGAAGAGAAGGGTGGGGGCATTTGAAACAATACTAAGAGGCTTTACCAGTGAACTGAAAAAAAAAAAAGTAAACAGTGATGGAAGGACAGTCTTAGAAAACACCTCAATGATACAAGATTATTTAAATATCTTAAAGTGATTGTGGGTAAGGAGGAACATCTAGGAACTTGAAACATTAAACTCGGGTTTATTTTAATTTAGTTTAATTTTTTGGTCTTGCCTTCATGACGCCAGTAAAATGTACCAGAAATGGAAACAGTGTCAGAGAGTGATAAATTAAGAGCAATGAGGAATTCCCTTCCAATAAATTAAGATAACTCAAGAAAAGACAACTCCTGCGTGGGAAGAAAAAGCTGCAGTGATTAATACTGCCTTCATGCAGCATTTGGATGGCTCCTAGGAATCATAAAGATACCTGGGGAAATCAGAGCCAAGTAAATCTAGTACCTTTCAAAAAAAAAATGGACTAGGGAGGAAGCAGAGAAATGCTAGCTTTGCAACTCAGGAGCAATTGAAGTATATAAAGTATAGATAAAGCAACCAAGGTGGAATTACCAAATACCTAGAAATATATGAGTTCAGCAGACAAAACAGTCAAATTTTAGGAAAAGTGACCTCTTGAATAAAATTCTTATAGAAGTTTTTAGGCTTTTGAATTTGGCCACTATACTAGAGTTTATAGAGAAGATGAATAAATGGACATCTGTTAGCAACAGCATCATAGTCTGCCAACAGCATTTATTAACTAACGTCATAGAATACAGACCGATAAGGAAGAGTTGGATTAAACAATCCTTTTCCCCCGGAGGTGCTGACATCAGTGTAGATGCAAAAGTATCCATAAGCGTAGGCATCCAATGACCAGAAAGCTAGTGGCATCTGTCACACAAGCATTGTATGATTGCAATGCATTGTATGCATGAGCAAGAGAATCTCGATCTCAGATTTATTTAAACAAATAAGTCATCACAGAAATAGTACCTATGGAGAAATCCTAGAAGAGGTTTTGGAGTGAATGGTTTGCTGGGCAGGCAGGATGTTTCTGATACAAGAAGAGCCCCTGAGAAGGCCCATAGCCAGGAGTGGGAAATAGGGTTGAGGAATCATGAACAGGGCTGAGCGAGCATAATATAGTAAGTATAATATAATAAGAAGTGATGGGGAAGATTAGGTAGCCTAGAGTAGGAGACGGATTTGAGCATGGGCTTTGGAGTGAGACAACCTGCTTTGAAGCCCAGCTCCATAGTGGTATAATCTCCAACTCCACCCCCACCTCAACCTCTCTGTACTTTGGTCTCTTCATCTCAAAACTGGAATTTTAATAAACTTAACTTAAGGATTGTGCTAAGAGTTAGGTGAGATGTTCTGTGTTCAAGCACCTAGAAAAAATAAGAACTCCAATATTAGCTATTGCTGTGAATGAATGGTAGTCAGTCTAGGTGAGAACACCTGCCTTCCTCCCTTCCTTGGGGTCATCTCTTTTGACTTTCTGCTGCCTTTTCAAAACTTTTACACTCTCCAAGGACAACAGCCCTACCTGGCTCTCTCTCACTCTAACAGATCGTGGGAAGGACAGTTTCACTCTCAATTTCCCTGTTCTCCCCTCAAAACACACTCTTCTTAGCCCCCTCTACTGTTTCTGAGAACACAATGCCCCATTCCTTTCCAAGGCTAAAACCTCTCCGGCAACAGAGAACCCAACTGTTACGGATTCAGCAGTTGACGGTTGATCTCCAGCAGGTTGGTGCTCCATCAGTAAGCCCATTCCTCTCTCCCAGCTGCAGTAACTCCTTCCTGTCAGCCTCCAGCCCTGCTCAAGTCTTCTCTGGCTCTGTGCATTTCTTCCTCCAATGTGCAGAGCCAACACCACCCACTTCTTTCCTTCCCTGCATAAATAAAACTACCCTGTCTCTGATTTCTACTCCCCCTTCCTCTGCTGAAGCAGCTGGTTTGATGGCCACCAAAGAAGAAAGTTTTTCTCCATCTTATTCTATTCTAGTTTCTTGTGATTCTGTGTTTACCTCTATTGATGGATTGTTTTCTCTTCCCTGATGGTTCCTGTGTAGTCTTTTTCTTTGCTCAGGCTGTTCCTGTAAGTATCTCCAGGGATTCTAGACTTGGCTGGTTCAGTTTCTCACACTGTACTGAACAACCTCATGTAAACCTTCAAGCCCATGATTTATCATTTTTGCCCAGGCTACAGTGCAGTGGCCTGATCAAGGTTCACTGCAGACTTGACCTCCTGGGTCCAAATGATTCTCTATCCTCAGCATCCCAAGTAGCTGGAACCACAAACACACACCACCATGACTGGCTAGTTTATTTATTTTTCTGTAGAGACAGGGTTTCACTATGTTGCCCAGGCTGGTCCTGAACTCCTAGCCTCAATTGACCCTCCTGCCTTTGACTTTCAAAGTGTTAGAATTACAGGCAAAAGCCAGCACACCTGGCCATTATTTATCATATCTCTGCAGGTCATTCCTTGACTATCCTTCTGAGGTTGGAATTTCCAATTGCCTTTTGAAATTCTCACACCATTGCCTTTTCATTCATTTATTCATCCATTCAAAAATATGTATTGAGTGCTACTGAAACATGTTTAAAACTATCTAATCATCTCTCTCCATCTCCACTCTCATCTGCATTTTGTCCTGTCTTTTCTCTGGGTAAATGATATCCTTTTCTTAGCAGCAGAAGCTAATTTTATTGCTCTTTGCAATCTCCCAAAGTGACTTAGTGTCGTGTCTAGGACTAAATGGGACTCCATAAATACTGTTGAATTATATTGAGCTGAAATCATACATGAAGTGATAGACAGTTATGAGAAGGATCTTAGAGGACACGCGTCTTTTCAGTCTTTGGCAAAAACACAAATAGACTCAGTTATCAATTAATATCTCTCGCACTAATTTTACTTTTAGCACTAAGATTCTAAAATTCTACACAAGTAGTACAGAAAATTTATGTAATAGGCCTAAAAACATTAATTTTAAAGATGGAAATAGAATTGTTCATAGAGAGGACTATCCTTTTGTTTAGCAAAAGAACTTGGGTATGAAAGATGAAATCTCCAAAGCTAACTTAATTTGTACATGAAAAGTATCAAGAATTGAAAGCTGGCTGGGTGCTGTGGCTCACGCCTGTAATCCCAGCACCTTTGGGAGGCCAAGGTGGGCGGATCACGAGGTCGAGAGATTGAGACCATCCTGGCTAACATGGTGAAACTCCGTCTCTACTAAAAATACAAAAATTAGCTGAGCATGGCGGCACGCGCCTGTAGTCTCAGCTATTCAGAAGGCTGAGGCAGGAGAATCACTTAAACCTGGGAGGCAGAAGTTGCAGTGAGCCAAGATCATGTCACTGCACTCCAGCCTGGCGACAGAGCGAGACTCTGTTTCAAAAAAAAAAAAAAATATTATTGGGTACTAGGCTTAGTACCTGGGTGACAAAATAATCCATACACCAAACCCCCATGACATGAGTTTACCTGTATAACAAGCCTGCACTCGTACCTCTGAACCTAAAAAAAAAAAAAAAAAAAGAATTGAAGGCTGAAAGCCAGAAGGGAAGTGAGAAAGAGGAGCTCAGGGCGGTGAAATGAAGTGGAAATGTTGTCAGGGAACTCTGCAAAGAGAGCTGACAAGTGGTTAAGAGTGACCAGTTGACTTTTAAACACAGGGATGTCCTGTATTTGGTTTTAAGTTATTGGCTGTGCACTGTTGTAATTTGATCTAACTCCCATCCTATATCAAATTATGTTTACATAATTAAGACGGTTCACTAAAGTGATTTTTCCTGAGCAAAGAAAGTCTGCTGTGTGTTCTGACATACATTTTTAAGCACCTCTCAGTCCATCACCCAAAAGTGTCAGATGGGTTCCACCTACTAATGACCAGTTATTCTATGAGATGATCTGAAAGATGATAGAATGGCTAATAAGGGGAGTAGCAAAAGCCTGTCACACAATGAATACTTGAAGAACTACCAGGTGTCTGTCTGACTGCGGCTATCACCCTGCATGGCCATGAGATGTGCGTGACTCACTCTGGAGAGGCGAGCTCCTGTACAAATTGACCGTTCACGGTCTTAGTTCTGAACTGCCTTTCTGGACGCTTCTTTCTGTTTCTCTCTACTTTTGACACTCTGAGCTAGCAAGTCTGATGTCCTTCTGTTCCCTATTCTAGGCCTGGGCTTGATGTTCACCGATTTTCCCTCAGCTCCGACTGTGGCTCCTCTCGGCAGACTCTGATCCTGCTCTCAGCCGGGCTGCATCTGCCCATCTCAGGTAAACATGGCTGGGCCTAGGCAAACTGTGGGGCCTTTCAGCTGGAGCTGCGCTCCTGTGCGTAGAACACCTGGCTGGTTTGGTGCTTGAATTAGACACTGGGAAGGCATAAGCTGACATCGCTCTTCCTTCAAATATTTGGAAGGGGCAGTTTTCCTATTCTCTATGGCCTTGAAGCAGAGAACGAGGAATACTGGGGCACTAAAAGGACTGAGTGTAACTTAAAACAAAAAGGCACTCGACAGCAGCCGGAGCTACCACAGCGGTCACTTCCTCCTCACTGAAAGGGCTCCAGCAAAGGCTGGATAACCATCAAGTCGCAACACTCTGGGAACGTTTGCAAAGGGAGCCATGCATCCTACAGATAATTTTACCAGCAGGTTTTTAGGTTCCTTCAGCCCTGAGCTTCTCAGATTCCAAACTTTTATAATTATTTGAGTTAAAAAAAAAAGTCAGATGCAGCTGAGCGCGGTGCCTCACGCCTGCAATTCCAGGACTTTGGGAGGCCAAGACGGGTGGATCACCTGAGGTCAGGAGTTCGAGACCAGCTTGATCAATATGGTGAAACCTTGTCTCTACTAAAAATACAAAAATTAGCTGGGCATGGTGGGGTGCACCTATAATCCCAGCTACTTGGGAGGCTGAGACAGGAGAATTGCTTGAACCCGGGAGGCAGAGGTTGCAGTGAGTTGAGATCATCCCACTGCACTCCAGCCTGGGTGACAGAGCAAGACTCCCTCTAAAAAAAAAAAAGTCAGATGTTTGACTAGAAGGGACAAGTCATAATGAGAACCACTGGAGGGTCATTTGCGTGTGGTTGTTGCCAAGGAGGAAATTAAAAACTGAGAAACAGGAGAATTAAAATCTAAGCTGGGAGAGGGGAACCTCAGATCCCTTCTGAGGATATGGTTAAACTGTCTTGTGTTTTCTGTGCCAGATGGAGCAGTTTAGACCTAAAGAATGTCAGCAATTTTCATCCTCCCACACAGCTACTTTATAATAATTAGTTTTACTACTTTTTTTCACAAGCTATTACTTTAATGATTTTAATTAAGTTGTTCATGCACTCGAGTTGTTTACAAGCACTTTTCTTTTTATAGCACATCGATAAGCAACAGAGGCAAACTACCACCTTGGAGGGAGCCAGGCAGTGTCTGCTGGGCAGGCCGCAGCCAGGAGCATGGAAGTCGCTTCTTCCATCCTCCACTGGAAACCACCCAGCATCCTGGGCCCTCCAGAGAGGAGCCAGACTCCCTCTGGGAAGAGACTGCAGTCCTATCTGTATCCTCCGTGGTCACTGCGCCTCAGTCACAGCAATGAAGAGCAAATTACCTGTTTTCTGTATGTTCCTCCGACAACAACTGACACAGAGTAAATATGAAAGGTTCTGGATGATTCGTGGTCAGCTTTTATTAAAATTCCACATACTTGGCGTTTCTTAGCTATCTGGATTGACTCCTGGTTCCACCCCTTACTAGTTGCGTGACTTACCTTCTCACGTTCTCAGTTTCCCTTTCAAACTGGTAGAGTTATTTTGAGAATTTTATGAGTTTCGAGTGGGAGGGCGCTAAGACCTTGCTGATTAGAGTGGTTTTTCAATCCTGATCGCCTCCTTCTCCCTCTTAGCTTCTTTCCTCCTCCCTCTCATGCTTCTAGCCTAGGCTTCTGGCAATTTTGACATAACAAAAGTGGGATTCCTTCATTCCTGACTTCAGGGCTTTTCCTTACTTCATTATTGCATGATCATTCTCAAGTCTTTCATTCTCATTCTTTACATAAATACAAAAAGGAGAAAGTGAAATAGTAGAGGAACCAACAGATTTGAAGGAGCTGCCACTATTTGATTCCTCCTGTTAGGACATCTGTATGACCCCAAGTTCCTGTTCTTGAGGCCGTTGTATCATATTCTTAAAAGTTATGTACACATTCTGCTTTGAATGTGTCCCTCAGCCTCATTCTTCTCCACTTGCTGGGGGCCATCCCGCCCCATGGGAAGGTAAGTTCAGGCTCAGAGGGAAAGTCACGACAGAGTCCTGCTCTTTTATTTTTGTTGTCTAAAATCATGTTTCGTGCTCTTCTTTGAACAAAATCCAGGACTCTAGAGATGCCCTGTTACTTTTCTTCCAGCAAGTCTCTAATTTGCTGAGGAGTAAACTTGTAATGAAAAGAACCCGGAACTCCCCAAGGCAGCTCCCCGCTCAGACAGTCCTCAAGGTAGAGGTTCTGTTCTTTAGAGGAGATTCCAAGAGCCCCATCCTTCCTGTGAAATAGGGCTGCTAACTCGCCACCTGTTAAGTATGATTGTTAAAAATACATTTTTTGTTAAAACTTTGATTAATAGAGACAGAAACTTTCACTTCAAGACCTTTCCTATGATTAGATCTAGAGCAGAGACTATTTGGTCTACGTTTGAATCGAAAAGTTTGCCCTTGACCTCATGAATTGCATTGTTCTAATTAAAGTGATAATTGCAGTATTAATTTTTATATAATTTAAATAACCAAACCGAGACTGCCCACTTAGGTTTTCAAAAGGAATGTATTAGCACCATCTTGTGACTATTTTGGTACCGCTTACAGAACAAAACTTTCAGCCTGGCGCTTGTGTTCAAAAGGAATCTTTTGGTGCCCTCCTGTGGTATGTTACAGAACTGGGAGAAACAACAAATACAGAATAACGCCTCTGGTCCCAGGAATTGCTCTTCCTGCTGTCATAGCTATTAGTGATTCCTTGAAAAATCACGGCTATTAATAAAAGTAACTTTTAGTAATTTTGCTTGTAAGTTAATAAAGCAAATTACAAAGCAAATATATGTAATTTGCTTTATTAATTTACAAATATAAAGTGTAATATGAGAAATAACAAGAAAGTCTCATTGTAACATCAAAAATGGAAATCAAGGTGGGAGGCTGAGGCGGGTGGATCACGAGGTCAGGGGTTCGAGACCAGCCTGGCCAACATGGTGAAACCCTGTCTCTACTAAAGATACAAAATATTAGCCGGGCGCGTTGGCACGCACCTGTTACTTAGGAGGCTGAGGGAGGAGAATCGCTTGAACCTGGGAGGCAGAGGTTGCTGTGAGCTGAGATTGTGGTGCCACTGCACTCCAGCCTGGGCAACAGGGCAAGACTCTGTCTCAAAAACAAAACAAAACGAAACAAAAACCCACAAAAAGTTAAAGCTGGCCAGCCAAAGAAAACATAAATTATATTTATGCTATTTCCTCACAGCAGCAGCACCTTGGTTCGTACATGAAAATGCCCACGCTCTTGGTAACTAAGCTTTCTACACACTAGGTGCTGCTCTAATTTTGTCACATGTGCATTCGCACCACAAAGAGGTAAGCCCTCTACCACAATCCTCATTTCCCGAAGAGAAAACTGAAGCACGGAGAGGGAACTGCCAAGGGCCAGTGACTTGGTCAGTGGCAGAGCGGGCAGGTGAAGCTGGGACTGATGGCCAGCCACTGCAGGAGCAGAGGGAGAGCTTTCCCCTCGTTTCCCTGAAGGTTCTCCGAAAAAGTCAACTGGCAAAAAGCAGGTTAACTAGAGAAAAGGCGTACACATCTATGTAACATGTCTACACGGGCGCCTTCGGAACGAAGACTCAGAGATACCGGGGAAACTGACCGTTTTAGTGCTTAGGCACAGCACAGTATGGACAGCCATGGAGACGAAAAGAGTGTGATCCAATGCTAATAGACTGAATGGGGACGCCCAGCAAAGTCTGTCTGTCTGGATTCTTCTTGGCCTCCCGAGCACCATTCCTTCCTTCTGGGTATGGGGCAGGACCCTGTCTGGAATAGGGGGGGTCACATGACCCATAGTCAAACAAGGTGGGTCAGATAGTTTATTCATAGCCTGTTTTTATACAGAAAAGTGGAGGGAAAATTAAAGTAGTATTTTTCAGTTTTATGACTGGCTTTGGGGAGAAAAGGTTCTGGTTTCTATGGCCTGCCTTGGGGGCAGAGGGATCCTAGTTTCTATGGCTCGTGCAGGGACTAGCACTGACAGGGCGGAAGGGCAGGAAAAGGTTTTGCTTCTACGGTGCTTCCGAGGCCTTCATTTTGAGGTATTGATTTCTGAGCCCCAACACACCTCTACTTCACGCCACCCACGACTGTGACTTTGGGCAGGATTTTAGTGTCTATTGCCACCTGCTTTTAACCTTCACTGTTCTTATAGCCCTTTAGCAATGTCGTCTAAGCACTTGGTAAACAGTGGTGTGAGTCCTGAAAAAAGCACCTGAAAAGCCTTTCATTGGAAGGGGACTTTAGGTGTGATACAATTTGAAGTACAATATGAGAGATATTGATAACATCTCATTTTAACCTCTAAAATGGAAACAAAGAAAATCCTTCCCATTTTTTGGCCGGGCGCATTGGCTCACACTTGTAATCCTAGCACTTTGGAAGGCCAAGGTGGGCGGATCACAAGGTCAAGAGATCAAGACCACCCTGGCCAACATGGTGAAACCTCATCTCTACTAAAAATACAAAAATCAGCCAGGCGTGGTGGTTCCCCCCCCCGCACCCTGTATCCTAGCCCTACTTGGGAGGCGAGGCAGAGAATGCTAAACCCAGAGCAGAAGGTTGCAGTGAGCCCAGATCATACCCACTGTACTGCAGCCCCTGCAACAGAGCGAGACTTCCACTCAAAAAAAACAAACAACAAAAAAACAAAAAAACAAAATCCTTCCATTTTTTAATTTGTAAAACCCAAACTTTTTTGTTTTTTTTTTTTTTGAGATGAGTCCTCCTCTGTCGCCCAGGCTGGAGTCCCAGGGCCGATCTCAGCTCACTCAAAGCTCCAGCCTCCCAGGCACGCCATATTCCCTGCCTCAGCCTCCGATAGCTGGACCTACGGCGCCCCCGCCACCTAACCCGGCTAGTTTTTTTGTATTTTTAGTAGAGACAGGTTTTTCAACCAATACCCAGAGGTCCCTCGATCCCGACCCATATCCCACCCGTCTCGGCCTCCCAAAGTGCTGGGATTACAGGCTCGAGCCACCGCGCCCGGCCAAAACCACAAAATCTTAAAGCTGGCCAGCCAGGCAGTTGCTACAATATCTGTGCTGTGCATTTAGGAGAAACTGCAGGCTTTCTCAACGTTGGCACTATTGACATTTTGGCCTTGAGAGTTCTGTGTTGTGGGCGGGCTGTCCTGTGCATTGCAGGGTGTTCAGCAGCACCCCTGGTGTCTATCCAGTCAATGCCAGTAGCACCCCTCCAGTCATCACAAACAAAAATGTCTCCAGACATTGTCAGATGGCTGAAGACGGGGCAAAGGAGAGGCCCCAGATTCTCCTAGGTTGAGATGGAACACACTATGAGATAGCTGAGAAAAGGTAAAAATTAAAGTAGCATTATATGGTGTAATGTTAATTTCCCCAAGTTGTCCTAAGGCAGAGAAAGAGGAATTGGAACCATGAAACATTGCCGTTGGCCTAGCTGAAAGATCATTTCCCAGAAAAGTACCATGAAACCACCATGTTATACGTCATGCAGGCTAAGCATGCAGCCCTTATGTTGATTCCTCTGGAAAAATAGATCTTGAGTGTTCAAGATTTTCACGATTGCATTGTATGATCACATCACAGAATGTGCTATGTTTTCAGAACATTTGACAGATTTACTCTCATGATTTCTTGACCTTCAGGTTATCTGTGGGCTCAGACTTTGAACTTTTTTTTTTTTTTTTTTTTTTTTTTTTTTTTTGAGACGGAGTCTCGCTCTGTCGCCCAGGCTGGAGTGCAGTGGCCGGATCTCAGCTCACTGCAAGCTCCGCCTCCCGGGTTCACGCCATTCTCCTGCCTCAGCCTCCCGAGTAGCTGGGACTACAGGCGCCCGCCACCGCGCCCGGCTAGTTTTTTGTATTTTTTAGTAGAGACGGGGTTTCACCGTGTTAGCCAGGATGGTCTCGATCTCCTGACCTCGTGATCCGCCCGTCTCGGCCTCCCAAAGTGCTGGGATTACAGGCTTGAGCCACCGCGCCCGGCCCTCAGACTTTGAACTTAATGTATGGTCTCACTTAGTTTTCTCTGAACCCTTCTTCATGGGCTCCTCTTGGTTAATAGTTACAATTCCTCCTCATATTTGGTATTAGCTCAAAGATTTAAATATCCTCCTTCCACATACAGAATCTTCTAAGAGTTTCCAAGTACAGCCTCATCTCTTCCACCAATACTTACGAATGTCTCAATATCCTAATTTAAATATTTCACAATTTCACCCCTTTTCGTTACCATTTTTTACCTGTTCCTTTTTTTCATTATCAGTATTTCATTCGGCACTCATTTGATAGTCACCTATTTATATTAATATAAACTAATATTTATATACATATTTATGTTAAGAGCCAGGGATACAAAAAGCATTAAGCTGGTCCCTAAGGAGCCTACCTGCAGTCCAGTACAGAAGAGGAGTACAGGGAAA